AAATGCATTTAGCATTTATTAAGGTATATTCCACTGTGTGTCCTAATTCCCCTACACATAAAACCCTACAACTACCGTTTTCGTAGGAAAACATGCAGAAGTAGGGATTAATGTGTGGGCCGAAATAAGCTATTGTTGCCCCTAAATTAAATAAATAACACACAGGATTCGTGATTTGCATACCAACTGACTAGACAAACAAATATTTCACAGCGGTCCAACGAAAGTGCTCCCTGACTTCAAATTATCTTAAGCTCGACTAAGCATTTCAGCAGCTTGGTATAAAATCAGTATTTGTAGCACGCTCGGGTACAGTCAATGTATACTGTAAAGGTAGCAGAAAAGCAGTATTAAGTCAACCTACAAATAAACTTTATATACGAAGGAGCGCTTCTATTGGAAAAATAGTAGCAGTAAATAGTTACTTATGCTTGGGCAAACTGAATATAAAAAGATAACTTTCTGGATTTTCACTATACGCGCGGTTAGGAGCTTGAAAGTGTATGGCCAAAAGCCCAAGTTTACAGCTCCACGTATGTCTTTCAGGCTGTTAGCACAGTTGGTTGCCTATGATTTGCCAAAAAAAGGCATAACAGCTACGGTTGTCCATCCATTTCTGGTGCATTAGAGCCGCATTAAACGAATAATTTACGGCCAGACAGAAAGGCGGTTCAGCATGTCTTTTTGCACACATGCAGACAGATCTAAACACTTTAGTCTTGGTGTACTCGTGGTCATCAAGATCTTTCCAAATGAGTGACTGCATCTCGACTTGGCTGTTCTTTGCTTTTGTCCTACTCGAAACGACGACGCCACGTCTGCCAAGATGCAGGGGGATAATATGAGCCAGTTGACGGATACGTCAGTTTAGTTACACGCCTCGGTTATTTGACAGTCGGTATGGCCGCTCGCCAGGCCAGCAATTCGCTGAACAACCGACCCTGAGTTCTCACGCGCATATTCCGATGAGAAGTGCTCCATCATCCAGTCCTGGGTTCCATATTCTGTGCATTGAACATCAGAACGCATGAGACCTTGTCTGCAGTGAAGAGATTTCCTAACATATGAATCTGAATTATTTGGAGCCTGAATAGTTGATAACTAAAAAGCAAAAACTTTAAGTATTATGCTTTTCTGGCTTGCCATGCAAAGTTTTCTGAGAGACAATAATGGCCATAATAAGATCAACGCACGTTTCACCTCAGTGTTATTGGAGTAGTGATAAGGAGTCCTGAACTGCAACAATTTATTCGAAGTAATGGGAATTTGATTGACCTTTCCTATGTTAACTACGATTACAGTTGTTGTGGACTCGGTAATGTCCTTAGTACCTCGTAGTACTACTAATAAACACTTGGCATTGGACGCCGAACCGGCTCACGTACATACACACATTATTCATCGCGAGTAAGGTTAATCAAATAATGTGCATAAATTAATGAAAAATCTATATTCACTCTGCAACGGTAACAATGACTGTAACAGAATTCTGGAACATTAACGTTCAGCCTTTACGTTAATAAAAGCAAAAATAAAATCTTTACAGTAGTAATAGGGTGCTTGACAATCAAAATTGTTTGAAGAAAACCGGAATTTCGGAAACTTTGTTTTAAGACTTATCTCGATTTTAGGAAGATATAAACACCGTCCATGAAGCTAACCTAAGTGCTAAGATGGCGCAATTGCAATGCTTAAAACAAGCATTCATATCCACTACATATGAATGTATGTTCGCCGAATGAGTGTACAAGGAAATATGGCAAGTATCAAATGAATACTGCTTGAAGAGGTGTGAAACGATATTTTTAGATATTTCGATTTATGCATTCCAAGATGCGATTGGCAAAGTGTTATGGGATTTCAGTCAAGTTTGCTGATAGGGAATCGACGTAAATACTTTATTCGCACGATCGCATATCTGGATATAGGCCGGTGACTATGAAACTAGAACAGTAACAACACTGAAAGTCTAAGCACTTAATTTTCTGTGCATTGAGAGGAAGTTTTTGTAAAATTGCTGTGTAGTGTTTGGCAACAGGACAGTCAACTGAATCCTCAGAGTTGAAGTCAAGGGTTTTAGTCTTCGGTGTGCCCAATTGACTTTAGGGAAAATGTCGTATGTTGTCTGCCAAAACCTTTAATGTAGGGTATTGCCAGAAAACATTTACTTTATAGTGAAATCATAGATGTTCTCTTCAAAGTACATTGTACCTTAGGTAATATATGTAGACTCACGCACACAGTATACCCAAACACCGGAAGAAATGAACGGCACCAACCAGAATGTGCGATTAATATGCTGATAAGCAGTTGTACAACCCCTTATATCTAACCCCTTTAAAAAGTGATTTAAAAGGCAATTTCGCCGCAAAAATGTCACCAAAGCTAATTTAATTCCAAAGCAATTATAAATAAAAAATGTAACATTTGTTTCCCATTTGCAAATTCCTGAAAGTTACAGCTAATTCTCTGCAACAAAAGAGAAACCCACGTCTATCTTTATAAACAAACTATTTTTATATATCTTTCTTTGCATGTTAGCTTCCTTTTATGGTTATAAATACATGAACGATATATCATATAAATATTGCTCCCAGGGCTACTAATATGCTGGTGCCCTTTCCAAATTATATATTACAAACGATTAGACCACACAATGAGTGGGCCTCTGCATACTTACCCATTGAATGTTTGCGCATACCAAAAGAATATGACCATATTGAAAACAAAGTTGCCTGTGGACTCAAATATTGCATTTTAAGACGCCAAGCTAAGAGAAGTGAAATACTGTTTTCTGACAACGAACAATTACCCAAATGTTGCTTCATCTGTCTTGCGCGGCCAAATCAATTTCAAAGCAGTCATACATATTTTTAATCAAGCCTTTCACTTCAGTTTACTTACCTTGAGTAGAAAAAAATATAGACTTATCAGTTCCTAATGAAAGTTCCTTTCAATTTTTGATCTGCAGATAGTAGAAAGGTCTTAACAAAGCACTTTTATTTCAAGTTATATGATATTGCCAAAATTGATATTAGACGTGACACCATTTTAGTTTAAACTAGAAATCTCAGTACATATATATTGCTTTATGATTTTCACAAGAGTGCTGACGTTATACAGATCGCTTGTAGTCTTGACGTCTTGACTAGAAAAATAGAAAGATAATTATTTTCGGTCATTATCAACTAACTGCTTAGACAGCAGGACCACCCACAGAACAGATGACCGAAGGATTCAATGACTCGGTAGTCGAGAGAATAGGTAGAACTAATGTGTTTTGCGGCTAGTGGACCTTCCTAATATATTTTTATTTTGTCATTGCCATGACTAACTTCTTGGAAATTCAAATATTTTAGCTGCTTAGTACTGGCTGATGTTAATATTAGAAAAAGCAGGCTAGAACGCATTTCACACGAACGCACACATATATGTCATTAATTAATTCTTGAAAGCAGCTTATTATATAAAAAAGGTGTACGCTATAAAACTTTCATATATTGCCCATCTTTTTTATTCAGCAAGAAATGCGCCAAATGGTACAGTATTGCTCTATTAAGATTAAGAATAAACTCTTTGCGGCGCATTGTTTCATCTTTCCTCAAAAATAGCCAATACTTCCATATATGTTGCAGGTTACGATCGCTCTCTGATCGGAGGTCCAAGGCTTAGCATGTTTGGAGACAGTTCAAAAGGTGAGCACAATCTTCGCATCAGTAACATCTCCGAGGAGGATGCTGGTGAATACGAGTGCCAAGTCACCCCAGTGGAAAACCTCGGACAACCGCTCCTTCGACGGAGGACATATCTAACCGTTCTGGGTTTGTTAATCTATATTTTGAATGTCAAATATTCTCGATGGCCGTTTGATGCAGGTGGGAGGCGCAGTGTCTGTGCAGCCGTTAGTCACTGAGCGGACTCCAGCAAAGTTTACTTGAAGTACCCGACACTAGCCTATTGTAATCGCTATGCTATCTGACTGCTATAGCCCTTGGACAGTGCATCAAGGAACGCGGTGAAATAACAAAGTCAAGTGCATATCTTAATATCATAGTTCAAAAATTAAACCTGTTTAACTTGACAGTTTTAGAAAATGTTAATATTTATTTAGCAGATTGAAGACAGTTAGTCTGAATGCATTTATGCTTTAAAATCCTAAGGGAAAAAGAGTAAAGCGCAGATGAATATCTATCGCTATGTTGTTGCCCTCTCTTCGTCGCGGTCCAGGACTAAGTGCATGTATTTTTGCCGGGAGCTAGCCACTCCTACTTTCTGGATTTGCGAAGATCCAACTTTATAACAGGCTTTTAAGGCGTAACTTGCTAAAATTGAGATGCAATGCCTGTTACAGGAAAGTTTCTGTGCATCTGAATTTTTACTACTTCGTTGAAGACGAGTTCGCTGGCATAGTCCTAGGTTGTTAAATGTCATACGCTAGTTGCACAGATTCCCACTCAAAAGGGTAGAAATTTTGAAATTTTACATGTCCAAGGAACATAAAATATTACAGATATACCTTCGATAATTCCTGGTAAATTTTACAAATGCAGTGTTAATACAAAGAAATTTGCCAGTTATGTCACACGTAGCCTATATAGCCAGCAATTAGAGTCTGCTGGGTTGATATGCTGAGCTCACAAGGTTATATTCCACACAATAGCTTGCATTTCATACTTGCTCCTTGGGCTCTCTCACGAAATATCTACTTTACTAAAGGGATTGACAGATTTAAATAACGCCTTGGAACTTTTTGTAAAGATATCAGCTTCCTGCGTGTAATTTGCACCCAAAGCAGCAGGGATAACGAGTTGGTATGAGTTCATTAGTTTCTGAAAGGTCCCCTAGATAGCCACAATGTTATATGAGAGAATCTACTCTACAAAACAACAACCCTTATAAAATAAAATGGTTATAAATGTCGGTTGAGGCATTCTTATTGATTTTTGTGTTGCGTTCCATAGAATGCTGCCTTAAAATGTCATTGTTTCTGCCCCCTCCCCATCGAAATACCCTGAAGTCATCCCATCTCATCCGGAGCTGAAAGTGAATGACCTACCTTTGCCGAAGGATGAACTGATCATTTCGCAGCCCGATCCGGATCCCCGAGTAGAGGTAGCGTGTTATGCTAGAAACGGTGTTCCTGCACCCGACTTTGTCTGGCTACTTAATGATATCAATCTCAACGAAATAGCAAATTCCTCCAAAACGACGGGTACGTTCATTTAACTCTCTTAGTTGACGTGCATAGGTGATTGCAAACTCTGCTATAGTCAATTAGTGTTGGCGGTTGTGCATCGCCGTGTTTTACATGATAAGAATTTGAAAGATATTTAGATGCCTTTTTGAGAGGTAGAGAGAACAACAAAAAGTATTACAGCTTACCATTTTTCGATTTGTATTTTTTTTAATTTGGTTCATTGAACTGAGAATACGAAAGATTTTGTATCTGCCATATCGTCAAGTAGTATACGCTATTAGATAAATATTTGCGTATGCGTAAAATTGCTATTAGAGGACCTGTAAACGTCTAACAAATCAGAACAATACTTAAAAGGGGTCGCAGTGAGTTCAATGATGTCCATGCCATGGGTGAATTCACCTTCTCGGGATAGCCAAAGCTGTCATAATCTGCATTTTGTCTGCGCGGATTGGTCATTCTTCAGTGCTTCTGCAATGAAAATCCCCATTTTTCGAGTATACAAAATCCGAGAAAAAAGTCGAGTACGGAAGCAGCCTATGAAAGCTATGTTCTGAATATTTGCTTCTTATCTCCTGGTCAATTATTTCCGGTGGAACTCTTCTCACATGTCGGTGAAAAAAATCCCACGGTAGTATGGTTCTGCTTTTGATGATGACGTGTTTAATTGTTCTGTTGTTGTACAGTTGTACTCAGATTTTCTGCAGGAAGGACTTGAACCACTATAATTTACAGACTCTAGGGAAAACTGATTAAAAAGTCCTATAATCCCGAATGCTTCAATGTAAACCGCTTATTCTAGCAAAAGAACAGATAAAAATTAAAGGCCAAATGTGTCTCTTTAATTTTTGTTTGCTAAATATAAGAAGTCTGGTATTCCAGGAATATGGCCAGCTCATTTATGCTAATGGTTTTATAGGTAATATAAGGAAATCTATTCGTCTCGAAGGAAGGTTCAAACGCCTAATTTTCCTCGCGGTTTTGTAGAAAAAAACATTTTTTCGTGAACGACCAAGTTACTTTTTATTAATCCTAAGACATTTGCGCTTTGCTAAGTCTGAACGTTTATTATCCCGACTAATGTAAAAGGAATGAAGTAGATCGATTTAATAAATCGAACCTACCTTTTCGAGTCCAACCAAAATGCTGCACTCCCCTTTTGAATATTCATGGCAGAAGTAATGTCAAAAGACACTTTCACTTTGTTTTCGCGCATTATGGAACGTACACATACCTATGGATAAACTATTCTCAGCTATCGTTGTATTACAAAATTTCCTAAGCCTAACGCAAATTGCATTGTCATTGATTATACAGTCTTACTATCTTGTTAAGATTATCAATGGCTTTTAATAAAAAGGTTAATAACACTTATTTCCTTCTTATAACTAATGAAAATATTGTAGTACCCTCTTTTTTCCCTTCGTAGATGATTCAATGTAGATGAATCGCAAAACCTTTCAAACATAATGATTTGTTACACTAGGTCAATTTTTTCCTCTCAGCTTTTCAACATCTTAGATGGCATTTATGTTTTAGTGACGTCCGTTGCTCTTTGTGATGTAAAATAAAAGTAGTTGAATGGAAACCATGTTGGCTTTTGTCAGTCACCTACTATATGTTTTCACTTACAAGCTCTTTTTTGGTCAACAAATAACAAAACGCTGGGGCTACCAAATTCACACTTTTTATTATCACGGAAACCGTTGTCAAACGTATTACTTATGACTTCCATTGCGCAAGTACAAGCCACGCGAATAAAATTCGTTTTCTTTATTAAAACTTGAGAAATCTCAACCAACGACAGTTCGAGGATCAAACTCGTGTTACAGAACACCACTAAGAGGGAGAGACCACCATAATCAGGCATTCTATAAGCATTTATTCTATCGTACGCTCTTGCTGTGCAACGCGTTGTATTGAAAGGTGGTTAACGTGTTGGCGTGCAGCTGATCCCGAGTTTTTCCGTCTGGAAGCCGCGCTGAGGCATAGGGAAAATGTCATTCGTGATGACAACTGCTCTTCCTCACTGACCGTGGCGCTGCGTATTGGGTGAGTTGAGTTTGCTATCAGCGGCTATCCATCTCCACGAAAGAGCAAATATATACGTTTGTGCAGATTGCTAGTTATACCGAAAGTCTACTACTTGAGGTCCGATTTGCCCTTCTTTCTCTTCTAACGGTTCTGCTTATTAAACTGCGTCCCTGAGACCTACTAAGCTGTTAGGGGAGCCATATCATGTGTAACTGGCGTTAAAGGTTCATGCCAGAACTCGCGTGTTTTGCTGGTAGTCAGACCAGATACATTACCGTTTCGAAGGCCAATCTCGGTAATTGAGTCGCTCAGTGTTTACATAACATCGATAAGTGGATCTTTAGACTAATTCGGCTTATTTGTTCGTACATGTCTGCTACCGTCTGCTGACATTATTGTGATGGTTTCTTAAAAAAAAGCCCCCGTAGGTTCTCTTATATTACGGACTGACATAAACAACTACTGCCAATCAGGTCTCACTCTCACTGACTTGATTTTTTTCTGCACGTCTGTAATTTTAATTGTTCGTTGCACACTCTGAAGTCTAAAGACGAGCTGGGGAACCGGTGGCGAACATTTACTGAATAAGTTTACCTTGTTGTCCCAAAGAGCTTCTTTTCTTCAAACTATCAGTTTTTGTCACGCACTGGTCCACATTAGTACCACGTCCTCAAATAGCGTGCACATGCAAAGAAATAAGCCTGAGAAACATGCAAACAATTGCAAAAGAGGACGCATAAAATTGCTATAGAGCACGCATTTCAAACACAATTCACAACTCATATCTTCCAAGTATTGATAAAGTTTTCTTCCAGGCGGTCACGACTGCCTATAAGAAGGTACAAATACAGTAGATTTCCTACCTCAAGAAATATTAATCGAAATTCTGAAATATTTTTTCGATTCAAACAAATTAGAGTTGTAGTACTTATTACCCTACAGCTTATCTCAGGAAATGCCAGGCACACGAGGATGCCGGCTTTTTAACGAGCTTCTTTCTGACCGCCTATAAAACGTATGTACGCCTAAAAATGGCTACTTAAGTAGTACGCATTTTATCTTTGATTTTGACTGCCTTTACAAACGTAAATACATTTTATGGAAAACATAAACAAGAATATTTCTTGTACTCATTCTGTAGCAAAGTACACTTGTTTCAAATTTTAAACTTAAAGAAGGGGTACTTTTAGTTTTGAAAAACGTTTCTAAATTGCCGTTTAATTTTGAAACCTACTGACTGCCACACCTGAATTCAAGATTTACAGACTGCGCGCTGTGTGCATTCTGTTTAAGAAAAAGTACGTTTTGCCTACGGTTTTAGGAAGAAGTCATACAGACCTCATAAAATGTTGCAATGGATGTGGATCATGCCGCATGAATTAAAGGCAGCATTAATAAATTGACATATACGATGTTTTATGAATGAACACCCTACAATCGTAAAAGATCTCATTATAAGAGATTTTGCAAAAACCGGAGAATATCCTTTCTTTGAGTACACAATTTTAAAAAGGCGTAATTTTCTACCAAGCGAGTACAAAAAATAACCTTTTTTGTTTATGAATTTCATAAATTTTATTTCCTTTTATAAAGGCAGTCAAAATCAAAGATAAAAAATGCATACTACGTAAGTAGCCATACTTAAGCGTACATACGCGTTGTAAGCGGTCAGGAAGAAGCTCGTTAAAAAGCCGGCATCCTCGTGCGCCTGACATTTCTTGCGATAAGCTGTAGGGTAATAGGTACTACAAATCTACTTTGCTTGAGTTCTTGCCTTTTAAGGGTGACAACACCTTAAACACAATCAAGAGATGCTTACGTAACACCACTGGAGAGACCTACTTTACTGCTAAGCTCATATTTTGCAACTGGACAAAGACCCATCCAAATCCAATTGGGAAGGATGCCTTGCCATTGTGCGCCACTTCAAATTGTGTTTACGAATTTAAATGCACTTGCGGATGCAAGTACGTAGGGCGAACGCAACTGCAATTGGCAGCCACAGCTGAGGAGCACTTGCCGAGTTGGCTATTAAAACAGGAGAATAGGACTCCCGTTCTTCCATTGCTGAACACGTATTGGATATGGGTCATTCTGTAGACCTTTTCCGAGTACTTGTTCGGGCACGAAAAACTCGTACGTTTCGCTTCCTGGAGGCAGCCTGTATACGACGGTGTAAACAGCTGAAGCATGGTGTGAACGTTGCTTTGCCCTGGTAACATCTGGCTCCCTGATTCACACCTCCCCTGCCCGCATTTTTGCTTTGACATTTTTCCCCTATCTCACTCTCCACAGTGTTTCACTTGCTTACGTTAGTAATTAGGCCAATTAGCCCAATTTACTAATTGGCCTTTCCTGACCTGTTTCTATGACCTCTTCCGTGTGAATTCAATTGTTGTATTCTTTCATTCGTTATTCATTTTGTGCAGCGAGAGGACGCAGCTGATGAGAACTCGCGAAATTTGCGGTTCAAATAAATTATGCAGTATACGCAATTTTCAAATGAAGCAAAAACATACTTCAGAATTTCGATTAGCATTTCTTGAATCTACTGTACATGCGGCATCCGTTCGGACAATCTTCGGTTTGGATTGCTTACAATTCCCACACCATCGCACCTAACAAAATATACGGATTATGAAAGCCCAAGTGAGGTTCAGATATAAGCCAAACTCGTAGCGCATGAACAGTGCTGCCGACAAAGCACCAACTGTCGGTACCAATCGTAGGAATGCAGCGACTCACTGGTAATAAAACCGATATAGATTTCATTCGTGGACCTTAAAAAGCAGCATTCCATGAGCCAAATGACCTGTGAAGAAGGGACGAGGATTTATTTGCTCACAGCGTTCGCCTGCCAAAAATGCAGATATGGGCTCTATGTAACTTCGCTTGGCCCCTGGCCATCTAAAGGATAGACCTGCATAGGCCTGTCATTGGGCCTATATTTTAAAATTTATCGGGACTCGACTGCTAGGGTCGAAAGAGCTGACGG